GGCTGCTCATCATTGCCAAACGTCCATGGCAACACCGCCGCGCCGGGCAGTCACGCTCGCAGGCTGCTCATCATTGGCAAACGTCATGGCAACACCGCCGCGCCGGGCAGTCACGCTCGCCGGCTTCTCATCATTGGCAAAAGGCATTACATTCTTTGCCGACAGTAATGAGGCAGTTTCAGTGGATTTTTTAATTTTTTCCTCTGCTGTCAGTGCATTAGGATCCCGGGGAGCCAACGCACTTTTCTCCCCTTGGCCGGCAGTGAGGGAAGATCTAGCCTCCTGTAGTGTGGGAAGCACACCGCTTTTCGTTTGCTGGGTGAAGAAATTACGCGTCGTGGCGTTACTTTTATTTGGAAAGAAGCCAACCTGCATGGCGGTGCGATATCCGACGTCGCTGATACATTCTGTGCTTCCGAAAACGATGGGCATCCACTGCACGTCGTCCTGCATCGAGGGAAGTGGTTGCACTGGAATCGAGTACCACGTGTGGTCAAGAAGCCCGTGGCACGTCACTTCATCGGACTTTTCACCCTTTACCAGGCCGTCAACTGGGCGCTTCGCCCTGTCAAGCACTGCCATTGAGACGACGGGTCGAATAACGCCATGACGAAGTTGATGCTGAGCAGCAGAGGAGTTGGAAAGAAGTCGAAAAAGGTTGGCGACGTCACTCTTTCGAGGCGCAGGCTCACTGGTATTGCTCACGCCACTCGAGGCATCAGTTTCCTTGGCCTGCGCTTTTTCCTTCCCACCGAGAAGGAGGCCTTTCTCTAAGAGGCTCTCCTTCTTGTGCTTGGGGTTTCCGGAGACATTATTGCAGGAGAGTGACGTAGTGAGGGTCAGGAATCCGTCGGTCTTTGAGGAAAGCTGGCGCAGCGATGGCCGTGCCACGCGGGAGCCGTTTCCCTTCCGCGGGATCGTAGGCTGGGGCGAGGAACCCCTGCCGTGATGAGCGGCAGATTGCTTCCCGGCAGCAATCGGGTCAGGCGACGCGGCGCGTGACGCCTGATTGGAACAGACAAGTCCTTCCACGTCACCACGGGTACTTGTCCCTCCCGCTCCCTCGTGCGTCGGTCCCGTGTTGGCGTGACTCGAAACGGAGATGGTGGGAGACGACCACGGCGCAGCTGTCAGGTCCGACACAAGCGTGATGCTCACTGTGCGTGCGTCGTACGCTGCGCGACAGGACTTGGCGTAGTAGAGCGGATTGTTTTCGTCCGTCACGAGGTGGTAGCAGTCGCAGGGTGCAAAGGAGTACACAAGACGGCGGAGGGGCAGCGCAGGAGAGGGGCCAGTGGTCGAGGCCCTAGTCTCTGGCACATTGAGCGTGGTAGAGCTGTGGATCTCCGCTTTATTTTCCTCCTTTGCAGCTGTAGATGCTGCGTCAGCCGGCATCGTGTAGCAACGCAGAATCTTATTACATCTCGAGAAGAATTTTTCCGTAGCAGCGTCGTCCTCCCTGCTGTACCTGTCAGACATTTCAAAGGCCAACATTCTCCGCATGGCGTCATCCATGTAACTCTCGGTGGAGGGAGCGAAGAAGGTTGACTTACTCGAAGCGGTGGAGGCGCCGCTGCAGAAGCGTGCCTCCTCCCGCCTATTCGTGTAGTACTGTTGCTCGTCAGGAGTGAAGCGACTAAGTGGCACCTTAAATGCGGCAAACTGCAGCGATCGCAGCGCGGCATCAGGGCCTGTAGTCTGCGTCGCAGCCACGTTGTGAATCATGGTCCCATCCAGGACACGAAAACCCGTCATGTTTTCACCGAGCTGCAAAAAATCTTCCTCAAGTGAGGGCGTTACGTGGTCCGATGCGTAGGCCTCTGATGCAGCGCTGTCAGACGGCGAAAGCCCACCAAGCTCGGCACGTCTGTAGCTCGTCTTGTTAACATCCCTTTGCCGTCGACGATATAACTTCTGCTGCTCTCTCGTAAGCTCCGGCAGCAGAATAAAGTAGGTGTCGTTGTAGTGGCGATTGGTCAAAGGATCTCCCAATTTTTTTCCGCCCTTCTCTCCCTCCCCTTGCGGCCCTTCTACGTCTTCCTTGCGCGCAGCGAGAGCGCTGGAAGCCGCATTCGACAACAAGGCATTGAGGTGCGATGGAAATGTCCGGAAACGCAGCTCCGGTGGAAGAAAGCCCTGCGGCCCCTGCAGCGTCGCGAGCTCCTCGCAGCTCAATGCCGTGTCTGAAAGGAGCGGGGAGGAGAGGTGGGTGACAGCGAGGAGGTAGACATGCTCGAGCGTGTCAGGGTGTTCGTAGGGGAAGCGTTGATGCAGCGCCGCCAGCAGTGCGCGGTGCAGCACCTCGGCCTGCTCCTCCACCGAGACGTAGCCTCCCGGCACTTCGCCCTGTTTGCCCGATGCCGGCGCCACAGTGGCAGGTTCCCCGGCTGCAGACGCGCCAAGGCTGCAGGACTTCTCGGTTGAGCCCAGCTGGCACACGTCGTGCGGTAATGCAAGCTGGTGCAGCTGCATTCTAAAGTAGTCTACCTCGGGCTCCAGGAACAGCATCTTTTCCCTCCACTTCCACACAAGCGCGGGCCCAGCAAGCCAAACCCAAAGACCCAGGGAATGACACACACACCTTCTCTACGTGTATGTGCCCGTCTGTAGGAGGGAGGAGAGGGGGAGGGGTCGAATGAATTAGAGGGCAAGAAGGACGTGTGGCTCTAAGAAACTATAAATAACGCACGCCTAGGGTAGTCTAAGGGGCCAACGTACGCGTCGTTCTGTGTCTGCGACGTTGGCAAAGGCGGTCAAAGCGAATGTCCGAAAGAAGAGTGAAGGGGAAAACGCCAAACATGAAACACAGAAAAAGCTTAGGGGCAGAGAGATAAAAGATAGGGGGAGGGAGAGAGGAATAAGGATAAGTTGGGCATCTCCGTCGTTGTCCTCTGCCTGTGCGTGTGTGTATGTATGTGTGTATGTGTGTGTGCGTGCGTGTGTGTGGAACGTCAAACCTCAAAATATTGCAATATTCATCTCTCTCCCTCTCTCTACATATATATATATCCCTCTCTCTGTTCCCCCACCCCAACATACAAGCATAAACACAAACAAGCTATCTCCCCCTTTCTTCGGTCTTTTTTCCGCCTTCCATGTAACCCCCTCAAAATACATAGGCATTGCCCATTTATCAAGGGAGGAGCCCGACACACAGTGACTGCTCCCTTCACCGCGTTGTCAACGTTGTAAGCCGGAGAACGAGCATCAATTTGGTCAAGACATATTCCTTCCCTCACGCCGGTCGTGGTTTCCGCCACGGATTCTTCGTCCAGGTCGGCCCCGAGGCACAAACATCGTTAGGACAGCGGTCGCCTCAATGATGGCAGGCAGTCGCTCTAGTATTTCACCGTCGGCCTCACAGCTTTGCATCAAGGCTTCAACGCGTGAAGTTGAGTTTTTCGCGGCGGAACGAGGCGAGAGGCGCGTGTCCACGTCGATGATGGTGCGTGTTGTGTTCCATATCGTCGTGGAGGGCCAGTGTGTGTGGTTGCCGGTGTACAAGGAAGGGGCGTGCAAGACGAACTGGGCAAAACCGGCGACCCAACTTGTCACGCTGAGCTGGCCGTCGGTGGGGTTGGCGTGCGGGGTCACCTGCAATCCGCCGCCGAACCACCGCCCGTTGCCGAAGGCCAACGTGGAGGACTTCAAACAAATCCATCGGCCCGACGGGTCAGGGTCGTTTACGGCGGCGACAATTTCTTCCGGCGTATTGGCCTCCTTGCGGCTGGGGTCAGCGTAAAACGGGTTGACGACCGTTTTTCCGTCCGCGGGGGGAGCCGCAAAGTCTGAGGCAATGCTCGCGCCCTGGACTTCATACGCGTAGTAGTTGGCGCCGAAACGCAGGGGCTCCGTCGCCGGAAGCGCCTCCTCCCACGCAGACGCCTTCACCCACTGGAGATCATGCTGTACGCCCCGCAGCGCCGCTTCATTCATGATGAGGTGCGGGTGTGGCAACTCTCCGCCAATGCGGCGCGGGGTGAGGCTGTTTGACGGCAGCGACGCAAACTCAGGGAGGGCGACAAGGCGAAATGGCTTTGGCCGCAGCTGACACACGGAGATGATAGACGCTACGGCAAACATGAGCTTACCCCCCAACAAGGACATGAATTTACTTTCTTTATACCCTTCACATTTCTCAATCACATCACAAGAAATTCCACATGAGCACTCATTTATAAAAAAATAATTTTGCCTGCTGCGGGGAAACGACACCCGTGCCACATCCACGTCATACACCTCAAAACCAAGTGGCGCCGCATCATCCGTGCTACCCTTTGTGCTATCTCTTGCGGTGGTGGTAGTAGATTCCTTACCAACATGGGTTCCATTCACACCCGGCGGTACCCGCACCAAGGTGGTGAGTGGTGAGGCTGGCATGAGGTGTCCCCAGACGCTACGTAGGAGAGCAACGAACTCCCGTGCACTGCGGCAGCCCAACCCCAATCTGGCAAAGTCCGTCCCAGTGCCCGCCGGAACGTATATCAACGACGGGAGAAAGTGCCGCAATATCGATCGGTCCTCAAGTGATTGCCAGTAGTACTGCAGTGAGTCAAGCCCCCCTGTCGAAGCTTCATCACTGTGCATAGGCGTTGCTATGCTCTTCCGAAAAGCTTCCAAGGTGCCACGGCACATGCCGTTCACGACGTCACTTAAGGAGCCGTCTCCTCCGACGGCCACAAAAACGTGCAGTGAATCCACGTCGCATTCGTGGCTCGTGATCGCCGTCGTCACGCCGTCCGCTATCGCTGCAGCAACTTTCCCATTGAGGCAACGGCGCAGGCGAGACGCGACCACCATCTTCGTGAGATGCTCTGCCACTTCTCGCCCGCGTATTTCATGCTCCGTGGCAATAATGTCCACCCGCACTCCGCTCCGCCGTGAGCAGTGCATCGTTGCGTCGCCTGCGACAGGGTCTCCAGTACGGAGTCCTTCGGCGTAAAACAAGGACGACGACGACGCGACGCGTAAGGGAGGAAGCGGTGCATGATTATCCTTCCGGCCGAGCCGGGCGTCATGGACTGACATCAACTCGCTGGCGGTTCTCACTCGGGTGACGCAGTCGGGGAACTCCGTCCGCAGCGTCGTCTCGATGCGCCGCTGGAGGAGCTCGCCCTTCCCTTGTCCACTCGTCGGGTTGACGATAACCCAGGCTTGCAGCCGGGGCAGCTGACCGGGCTCCTGCGCTGTGCCATTCCGAGGATACATTTTTATTCCCGCTACAGCGCCTCTTCAACTCTACTTGGCTCGCCTTCAAAGCCGCGGTCCATGTTGCGCGGCGTGGGAAAGAGGGAGGGAGAATGGGAGAGAGTCGTCAAGAGTCAAAGTCCAACAAGAGCGAGAGAATTGTGGCGGGGCGGGGGACTCGCCAAGGTCTACAGCGGAAGCAAGAAGAAGGGGGCACTTGGTTGTCGCTCGCATTTCTGCCTCAAGTACAACAAGTCGCATGTGTGATTACGACGATTTTTGCCCGCATTTGTGTGCTGCACGGTAGCAACGGGCGCAGTGGAAGACGAGAAGAAGAAGGGGGCGCAAAGCGTGCTTAAAGAAGAAGAAAAAAAATGCGAAGAGTGGCAGCTGAACCCGACGCTATGAGTCCCTCACTTCTCCACAAGCACGCACACACGCAGGCAGGGGGAGAAACACCCAACGTACAGAAAAAAAAAAGATAAATTTATTTAAAAAAGATACAATACCCAATCCAGCGTCGACCCAAACGGCGGAGTAGTGCCTTGCTCCCATTCAAGCCCCCTCCCCTCGATCCCAATTTCCCGGTAGCGACGGCGTGAATTGAGACAAAAAAAAGTGGGAGTCCGCACGGGAACTCCACGAAAAGACCAAACAGGCAGGAGAGAAAGAATGAAAAAAAAACGGAAAATAGGTAGAGGAAAGCAGAGATTCGGTGAGAAATAAATCAAACCAAGGCAGCTGCCCGGAGAATAGCAATGTTGCCCCTCGCTTTCTTCGCAGTAGAACGGAGAAATGCCGGAGGTGCCGACAAGCTAGGGCCGCACCGCAAGCCTTGCCCCGACCAAGGGGAAAAAAGCGGGAGAAACCAAAGAAAAAAGGTTCCTCTGGCATCGCCTATCTTCCTTTTCTTTTCTCATTTTTGTTTGTTTTATTATTATTATTAGTATTTTTCTTTTTTGGGATTGGTCCCATCAGCCTTCTATCGCGTCATTGCGTCGTCCAACTCTGGCGGCTTGCTTTGCTCAGCCCTGGCGGTGTCATTACCGTCCGATTTCGTGGACATCAGCTCCGAGACAACGCGCTCAACGCGTCCCTGCCCTGCCTCAACGGTCTGGCACAGCCTATCGCAGAAAGCGGAGAGCTGTGAGTGTGCCACCTCCTGCTGGCGCTCCAGCACACTCCTGGTCCGTTCGTCCGAATCCTGGCTGAAGGATTTCAAGGCCTTCTCCATCGCACTCTCAATACGCTCTGGAAGTTCCTGAAGGACACGTTGCGTGAGTTGCTGCCCCCCCTCGTTACCGCTTGAGCTTCCTTCAAGTAGCTGCTGCAGGCCGCGTTGCTGATCCTCATGCATAATCTTCAGCTTTTTTGACAAGGTCTGGTCGAGCTGGCGTAGCAGTGTTTTCTGCACGTCCTCCAAATCCTCTCGCACATCGAGGGAAAACTGCTCCTTGGAAGGCAAGGCACTCACATACTCCGCTAGACGCTCCTCCAACCGTCGGGTACAGTCCACGAGGTCATACATGTCGCCGGACGCGGCGCCAGCGTCCGCAGTCGGCCGCTGCTCTATTTTGTCCCCTATACTCTTCACCTCTGTTCGAAGTGCCTCCATCACTTCTTGCGTGTGGCGCAGCTGCCGCTGAACATGCTCAAACTCCTTTGTGGCATCTATGAGGGCTTCCCTCTCACTCTGAAGCCCTTCCATAAGCTCTATCACACGCTCCCGCGACCAGTACTCCACAAGTTTGTTCAGGGTACTCACGAGATGGTCGGTGGACTTTTCATGCCGCAGCGCCACCTCCTCCAGGGCGTTGGCCACAACCGAGCGTAGCACATTTTCCGAAAGGGACTCCGAGGCAAGTTGCCCGGCGTCTTGACCACGACGGCGCAAAGTTGAGGGAGGCACAACCTTGCCCCCCTCTTCGTGTACTTCTTTGTAGCCTTGCTGCTCCTGGCTAGCCTCCCCAGCAGCTTCTATGCTTGCGCTGCGAAGCGCAAAGAGCACATTCTTCTCGGTAAAGCAAGTGGGTACAACCACCACGGCAACATCGGCCAGCGGTGAAAGAGACTGCTCAAGTGTCTTTTGATACTCCTGGCGCATAAGCGCTGCGTCCTCCGCGATAAGAAAGGAGGCACCAAGAAGGAGCAAGACTGGCACACGAGGTGTGGTAAGAGCTTCCATGTTTTTCGTTTTTTTGCCTCCCTTCCGTCGACACTCCTCTTCAAAAATTTGTGTAATAGTGATCAGTGGCGTGCGGCAAGCCCCCGCACCGGTCAGTCTATAATACAAAGCGTACACCTCCCCACTACCGTACACGGGAAGGTTCATCATATCGGCAATTCGCACTTTGTCAACGTAGCCGGAGAAAAGGGCCCTCTCCACTTGCTTTGGAGGCTGAAACGGTGCTGCCAACGACGATCGAAACATTTGCTGCAATGACTCCCGTGTGTCCTTTCGGGTAGACGGGACGGAGGTGAATCGTCCCTTGGCAACCCCAGGGGGTGGTGTGTAGGAGAGCGAGCGAGATCCGTCTGCATTTGTTTTATCGCCCACCTTCGTACTTTTCGCACCCTTCTTCCCAGAAGCAGATAACTTTGGCTCACTCGTTGTTGTTGTTGCTGTTGTTGGTGTCGTCGCTGAGCTCTTCTTGGGAGGTGAAGTCTTCGCCGCAGCTTTTACCTCCGGCGACTGCCGCTCAGTCCCCCGCTCACTGCCATCCACCGCGGCGGCCTCCCGTTGATCCCCCACCGCTGCGTTGGCGACAGCGCTGGGGGTGGCACCCGCCGGCACCTCCGCCGCCTCTTCTTCCTTCTTTGCCTCCAGCCTCTTCCCGCGAAGACTCTTTAAAATTGACTTGGCGACGGCCGACTGCTTGACGTCCAGCACGACGGCGGTGGCACTTTTAAAGCGATCCCGCTGCTGCAGGGCAGTGGAGAGGACAAACTCATTTGCTTCAGCATCGTCCTTATCCAGTGAGGTCTGCACAAGCACAAGCAATGGGTGCGAATGTTCAGGGTTGCGCTGCAGCTTAGAAACTTCCTCGTCACATGTGATGACGAAGCGCAGAACGGAAGCGGCGCTGCTGCTGGCGTCTCCGGCGGTGCCGTCGATCGTCAGGACGTTGGCGGTTGAGGGGAGCGACTTCTGCAGCAGCTGCGCAAGGGCGGTCGTCTTGTAGGCGGGGCAAATGCTGGCAAGCAGGGCCTTGCCCTCGTCGGCGTGCGCCGACTGCCCGTTCGGCGCGAGTGCGCTGTAAGAGACGGTTCTCATGGCGGCCTGTAACGCCCGATGGCGCGCTGCCGTGGGCTTCGAGCCGAGACGACGGACACAGCGGAACATGCAAATCGTGAGGCTATCGACGAGCGTCGCGGCACCCCCGTCTATGCAAAGAGATGAATAATGGATCAATGGAAGTATGGGCCACGGCCTTCTTCTCTCTCTCTCTCTCCCCACCCCTGCTTTATTCTCGCCCTAGGGGTCTTCTTTCAAGCTTCGCTCGAGCGGAGGCGGCCGGCACACACAAAAGACCGAGTGAGAGGCAGTCGTGTGGCTTCCCTCCGCACGGTCCATCAAATAATGAAGGAATAAAAAAGAAGAAGAAAAAAAGCAGACGCGAACGCGTGGCCTCGCCTCTCTGTCTCTCTCTCCCTTTCTCACAAATACACACAAACACAATCACGCAATCGCGCACGCAGAAGCCACAAAACAAAAACAAAAAGTGGAGATAAGACAGTGGTGCGGGCACATGCAAATACAAAAATAAGACACTCACCAGCGGCTCATTTAGGCGCACATAACAACGACAGCAAAAACAGCAATAACATAAAAAAAAATGATGCGAATCATCAAACCACAAAGTGGGATTGAAGAGGCGACCAAGAGAACGATGTCGGTGTGTAATTTGTGGTAGATGGCATCCGCTCTCGTTCCGCAGCCGCGAGAGTTAGGTTTAGTTTAGTTTTTTTCTTTGTTCTTTCAGAGTGGCACTTTTCAGATGTCACGCGCGATGTTAACCTCCTCGTACGGCCCGGAGTCAACGTACGACACGTAATCGTCACGGTGCTGCGCCGGGTACTCAACGTCCCAGAGTGTCAGTCCGTAAACCGGGGCGGGCGGGAATCGCTCCCGCTTGAACCGATGCCGCGACGGTTCAAAGCCGCTCTGCAGGGCCTGTTGTAGCTCAAGCTCATCCCAAAGACCGTGACCGGCCGCCTTCAAGAGACTCACCATGTTGCGGATCTGGTGGCGCAGAAAAGACTTGCCAACGAACCAAATCAGTACCTCGTCATCTTGCCGTACCACCTCCAGGCGGTCAATGGTGCGGACTGTCGGCAGGTTGGTGGAAGCACGATAGTACTCCTTGGCATGGGCACCCGGCTGCACAACACGCTGACCATACTCGTTGAACGTTGGAAGTGCAGCCGCGCGTGCCAAGTTGCTGGAACCTTTTTCTATCATCACCTTCGGCGCCTTCCCGCGTGTGGCTCGCGGCGACTCGCCGGTGGCAGTCGGTTGGTAATGCTCATCCAAGACAGCTCCCGTAGACAGTCCAGAGGGACTGAGTGCCGCTCGACGAAGGGCATTGGCCATCTTGGGATCTGCAAAGTAGCCAAAATCTTTCGTTCCCTCCAACGCCTTGGAGAAGCGTTGCATGCGGGGAACATCCAAGTGACGGTCCACGTGCCACTGCAAACCGGCATCAAAAAGCGGCGGTGCGACGCGATTAAGAATGCGGTACACATACACGCGCCTCAGGCCGCTATGGCGTGCATGAAAATCTTGGTTTTTGCACCGCTGACAGCTAAGGATAGCAAGCGGTTGCTGCCGCTTCTCTAACCACATCGTGGCTCGCTGAATGATTGTGCGTGGTTGTAATTCAATGTGACTCGGCACATCTAAGTGACAGCAGAGACGCCGAACGGACACCCCGGCTTCGGGAATAACACCTGCAACCACCTTGACACTGTGCACGTCGAGCGCCACTGCCAGTGCCTCCTCCAGGACGGTTCGAGCATGATATCGACTGCCCATTGTTTTCTCCGCGGAAGAGTTTGCTGGGTCGTTGGCCTCCGCCGTAAGAGGGACACGCCGAATAGTTCCGTCTGGTGCTGTTTCCCGTCGATACAACTGGCGTGAGGTGCTTTTCCACCACCCATCAAAGTCGCTGCCTTGATACTGCACGTCGACACGATAACGCGTGCTTCCCGGCGGAATGATCTGCTGGCCTGGAACGTACGCATCTCCGGCTGCCACTGTTTCTGCGTGCCCGTCCGCACGACTTGCAGGAGGGAAATACAAAAAGGCATCATCCAACAACTCCTGCTCCACGGCTTCCACCCCAACAAGAGAAGAGGATGCTCCTTCACCTCCCAAGAGATTCTGCAAACTGCCCACTTCGTCCTCCTCAGGCGTAGTTGTGATGACGGTGGTGGTGGTCTGCGCAGAAAGCGTTCTGCCCGGCGCCTGCTGAAATGCCTTTCGCTGTGCGCTGTCCTGAAAAAGCTGCGCTATGGCGTCTGTCGCAGCGCGCTGTTGTTGTTGTTCCTGCTGCCCCTCTTTGCGCCACTTGCGGCTGCCCCATGAAGTTTGCCCTGGCACCGACTCTCCCTCTACGCGCTCCACCGCATCCCCACTCCCCTCCTCGCCGTCCTTCGACCTACCGCCGAAGCCTCGTCGGCTGCCCACGGCGACAGCGAGGCCGCGGAGAGGCGGAGGGGGAAAGTCTGGGGTGCTCCCTGCGGAAGCGAGCCTGCGCAGCAGAGAGGCGGGAGCGACTCGTGGTGCTGTGCGGACGCACGCAGCCACAATCCACATTTCGGTGTGCTGCGGGGTCGCGCGTATCCTATGCTCGTTTCCCCTGTTTCGCTTTCCACGCCCGGGCCCAGGCCGCAAGGACCCAGCGCGGACACCGCCCCGAGCAGCACAGAGATGAAGGGAGAAAGGGAAAAATGAGGAGAGAGCATAACATGGAGAAAGCAAATAACAATAAGAGTAGTACTAACAATCATTAAGGTAAAAAATAACAATAATGATAATAAAGAGCATTCGTTTGGCGTTGAAGCCAACGCTCAGTAGCTTTCAGTTATGCAGTTCCCTTCTCCGCCTCATCGCACAAGCCCACTTATGCATGCCTCCGAGCGGACGCGTGTGTCGGTGCGCCCACTAGCATCATGCCCGAGGTTGACGCATGGATTTATGACGTGCCAAGAATCCGCAGTACGCTAACCACGCGGATGGCCGCCAGCGGGGGAATAACAAAATGAAGTCAATCCTAACCACTTGTTACAAAAAAGGATCCATCTTTTCGGCAGCCCAGCACCCACAAGGAGGGGCCGACGTTTGGAAGATAAACAGTGCAAGTCTCAAGGCTGTGTGTAATGCAACAGCAACCTTGCTTCAAAATCTCGCCATGTAGGTTATTTCCTTTGTTTCCTTGGACTCCTTCCTTGTGAATGGAAGCTCCCTTTCCCCTTTTCGACCTCCATTTTAAGCGTTGCTCCGTACGCTGTGGGTGGTGGCGTTCAGCCTGTTATACCGCCTCATTCATAATTGCTTACAAGTTGGACTCAACCACATCCCAGAATTTTCTTTTTGCGTGTGCGTGTGTGTGTGTGTGTGTGCGTTTTCCTTTACTTCTTTCTACGCACGTTGATTTGGGTTTTTCCTCCCACGTCCCCCGCTCCCCTGCTTATCCAAGGTGGCTCTACTCGAGCCTCTTTTCATAGTACAATATACTACACACCACCGGCTTTGTATGCCCTATGAAGCAGGTCGATTGTACGCGGTCGGTGAGCAGCCCTGTCCACATCCGCAGGTAATGATCGCTGCTTGCCGTGAAGAGATAACGACCGCAGTCGCTGAAAACGCAATCCCACACCCACCGCAAGTGCCCTGTTAAGGGCTTCAATGCGACAAACTGCAGTACGCCCGTGCTATGAAGCTGGGTGTTTCCATCAATGTTCAGTGAGGGGACGACAGAAAACTGCAGTGAGGAAGCATCCGCAAAGTCAGCGGGTGTAGCTGCCGGTTTCTCCTCGGTTTTTGCCGCTGATTCGGCTGGTTTCCCCTCGTCCACATCCGCTGAGACCTTCCGACTTGTTCCACTCCGTGATGTTTCCGACATTTTCGCCTCGGCTCCCTTCGGTTTATCAGCTGGGGCAGATTGCGAATCTTCTGCCGCTGCCATAGGCTGCAACAGCGACGCCACCGCCAAGGCCACTTCTGGGGCACCTGGCTGTGTCATGCGCCTTTCCTGCAGCCCCTCCACCACATCCGAAGACAGCGGCACCGTCGCTGTTACCGCTTGCTCGCTCTCCTGACAGCTGGAAATGTCATCCCCACTTCGCTTTGTCTCGAACGCCGTGCCCTGTTGAAGCTCCTTCGGAATCAGAAAGCGGCCGACGGTGTAGTCGGCGCAGCAGGTCACCAAAAGATCCGTACTGGGGGATATGGCCACCTTGAGGATGTACTTGTAGTGCGCCTGGAAGGAGTAAAATACCTCCATCAAGAACTGCTGCGGGAACGGTAACTGTTTCGACGAAGAATCATTGGAAGAAGTTTCTGAGCCAAACTTTTGATCACTAGATGAAACCTGGGCCGGAAGCGCTTGAGCATCTGGACTGCTGACAAACGCAAGCGTGCGAGATTCCTCTGCAAGAGCCTCTGCGGATGATCCTAAGAAGTTGCTCTTCGACCCACACACACCCCCGTCGTTGCCGACGGCGGTGGGGCGACAGACGCCCTCTAACTGAAACGAACCGGCATCCTGCGAGGCAGCAGCGGCACCGCAGTCTGCAGGGTCCTTGGCGTCTTTCGTGGCGAGTGCCACGCCCATTGAATCCTCCGCCTCCTTTGCCTCCTTTGTCTCACTGCCTTCCGGCTTAGCTTCGCTGCCAGCCGACGGATCCGGCAACGGACCACAGCCATGTGCCTCCCTCACAAAGCGCAAAAAGTGCAACTTACCTGCGTTTGTTGCGGCCACGGCCCAGCGCGCCAAAGGCTCAATCGCAATGCTTCGAATGGCTGTGTAGTCCGTGTCAAAGGAAATTTCTTGCAACGGTTTCTGCCCAAACGGAATTCCAGCAGAATTCTGCAGCTGTTGCGTTGCCACCTCAGTGATAGTGGGAAGGTGCCACACGGAGACGCGACCAATCTGCGATCCTGTGAGCAACGTCTGACGATCTGGGGAGAGGGCGCTGCAGGTGATGGCCACATTAGTGGAAATATCCCAGATAAGCTGCAACGCATTTGGATTTGTCGCGTTTAAAAAACGAATATGACCATCTTCTGAGGTGGCGTAAAGCGCTGTGGATAATTCAACGCATGTGTTGTCTTGCAGCGGCCGCTGCGTGGACCCGAGTTCAACGGTTCCATTCAGCAAACTGCTGGTTGAGTTATCGGTGGAGGAGCCGAAAAATGAGGCGGCGCCCCTCTTCAGATGCAGTGGAAAACTCCCAAGACTCGTAAAATTCATGGCGGATTGGTTTTCATACGATGACAAGAGCGGGGGCGCCTGATTGCTCGCCCCGCCGCCGCCGCCGCCACTGGCCGCTGCCGCCGCCGCCGCCGCCGTGTTTGGTGACCCAATGTCGTACACACGCACGACGCCGAACCCCGCCACGGCGAGGTACGTTGTGTCTGGAATCAGCAGCAGCGCATTCACCTGCGAGTCCTGAAAGGAGAAGCAACGCACTGTGCGACCAGAGGCGCCATCCCAAAAGCGTATTTGTTTATCGTAGGAGGCGGAGATGAGAAACGCGGCGCACATTTGCTACGAAGCTGCACCCTTGATGGCCGTATACAAGCTCGCAAGGACCCACACACGCACACGCACACGCACACGCACACCGCGGAAAGGACCCCTCTGCTCACTCCAAGGGCTGGTACGTTCAACGCAAAGAAAAAAAAAGCAAAGCTACGGACACTAACGATAGACAAAGAGCCCGTGCAGCGCCGCTTTACCTTTTTTTTTTTAATAAGTATTTTGATCTTCGGATCAACTCCTCGCCAAATGATGATGATGGGGGGGGGGTGCGTCAGTGAGGGACAGTAGCCGCCTCCTCAAGTCTTCCGCTTATTTTTTTTTACCTCCTCCCCCTTTCGGCTTCCTTCTAGTGTGTCAGTCCCGCTCCCAGGCCTTGCTGAGGGTCGCTGTGCGCAATGCTAGAGAAGCAGCTGCACTTATGCGTGGTTCTCGCTCTGCTGCGGCGGCCATGCAAAAAAGCAAAACAGGAAAAGAGAGGAACAAAAACGAGGGAGAGACGAAATGAATACACGACGGGAAAACGCTTCAAACTTCATCCGTGGCTGTACACACCCACACACGCGTATGAAGAGAGCCGGGAAAACGTCCCGAAACGCCAGAGTGATATTCCCCCAGCGGCGTTGCCTGAAAGGCGAGTACGGGCATCACCCACCACAGGGTGCACATACGTGCCGTCAGTCATTGTTGTCCGCCACGCAAATAGATGTAAACTGCACCGTGTGTAGAGACATGATCCCCCGCCCTCTCGGTTTCATTTCTGCACTGGTCCACTCATAGTTCCCGCCACCTGCAACGAACGGAGACGGAAAACTTCATTGGGGCAGTCGTGGACGCATGCCTGCACCGCAGGCGACACGTCCCCCCTCCCCTCCCCCCCCCATACTGCCGCGAGGAACAGGCTCCGGCATGCATCAAGAACTGCCTTAAAAAAAACCATGAGGAGACAAAAAGCCGCAAAAAAAAAAGATGCAAAGGCGGGGGACCACTGCGATGCTCCAGGCAAATGGTGCCCTTCGTCAGGAAATCAACAAAAAAAAAGCAAACACGTAATAAAACACAACTCCAATTGCACTACTGAACAAAAACTCCCTGCGTCGTTACTAGCCCATGGAAACATTAATGTTTTTTTTTTTGCATTTCACTGTTGTTTCCAACGGCGATTACGGAAGAGTAGAAAAACAAAGCAAAACTAGAGGAGGAAGGAAAGAAAAAACAAAGTTAAACAAAAAACTGGGAAAGCAAAGGGATAACGGCCAGTGGAGACGTACAGACCACTAGGTACGTATGTATGACTAGAAAAGCGGAGTGCGATGCGCATTTGTTTCACTTCTATACATTACTGAAGGGGGGAGGGACGGTGGAGGAGGGGGGCCGCTGCGTGATGGCGGCGCACCCCACACTTGCGCCTCCGCCCGGCCGCGTGGCCGCCTCCTTATTTTTCTCTACTTCCTTCGCCCCCCTCGGTTCTTCATTTTCAGCAGAAATATACACACAGACAAACACACACACACACCCATAGATATATATATATATATGTTTTCCCTCTTTCCCTTCAGTGTATTTTTTTTTGGTCCCAAGTTTCTTGCGTCGCCCCCATCACGTTTCAATGCCGCGGCCCCGGCCATTCTTTTCCCCTTCTATTCCTTTTTCTTTTCCTTTTCGGGTTACTTTCGGTTTCAGGGTACGTTTCACTTCCCAGACTGCCCGTGCAAACAGGCCGCTGGCATACAAAACACCGCGGATTACACGCGGCAGAAGCACCACGCAACTCACCACTTGCACAAGTTTCACTCACGCAAAGAAAAAAAAAGGGGGGGCCCACAAGCGGGAAGAGAAAAAAAAAGGACACGATGAAAACTGCAACGCTGGGATACCGGCTGTATACATCTCTGCGCGTCGAGCGAGGGAGGAGAGAGAGAGACGGGGTTTAGGGGAGAGAGAGAGAGAGAATGCAAGCGGA